TTGATATCTTCAAACATATATTTTATTCAAAAATAAAAACATCATCGATTTCTCAAAATCACATAAAGTCATATTATAATATCGACTGAGATAAAGAATTAAATGAAATATTAAAATCACGATGTATCTCGCTGCATTGCGCGAGTATGCTTCTAGTATATTATAAAGCATTCGACAAAAACTCTTAAAAACGATTTTTTATGCATGAAGTACTGTTTATTGATGCATATTACTTAGAATTCAAGATTACAAATAAATTGTGCGTAAATACAACTTATTAAAGGTTCATGTTTGAATTCATATAACTAACTGTAGATAAATATAGTCAAATGCAAGATAAACATTTCATTTTAAATATAAAAAACCTAAAACATAATTAGGATAACCATTGAGTTCTAACAGATTAATTAATTATTATCTTTAATAAAAAATTATATTATTAAATCAAAAATAAATTACTGCGTTATTAAATCTAAATTAAATTATAATAAGAAAATTGATTTAAAGAAATTACACAAAAAAACAAGAACTTTTAAATAGTTAATTTGATACTACATTGATATATTTATTTTTGAAATTTTATGATATCTTCAAATTTATACTTTATTCAAAAATAAAAACATTATCCCTTTATTAAAACCACATAAAAACCATATTATAACATCTACATAGACGGAATAAAATTAAACATTAAAATCAAGATATATCTCACTGCATTGCACGAGTGAAGTCAATTCCACTTCATTTGTCTTTGACAATCGTGAATAATTGAATTAACCTATGAAGGCCTAAGTGAAGTCACATACACCCCCTCAAACCGATTTTCATCAGTGGGATTTTTTGAATATGAAAGGTGTACACTCTAAACTTTGAACAGTACTCATAGATATTAGAAAATAAAGGTTTATCAACAAAAAAACTGAAAAAGTCATCAAAATCAAAAAAAAAAAAAAAAAAAAAACATAAAAAGTCTATTTTGAAACGATGAAATTCGACTAAAACGTAACGACATCTTTCCAAGTCTTTAATCCACCGTAAACGCGTACCCGTTCATAAAAAGATTTGGATCCACCATCGACAATCCATAAAATCAACAACGATCTTAAGAGACTCGAATCACTGACCTATAAAAACGAGTTTCAAAACCTAATATTTATTTATCAATTGAACTGATGTTAAACCTCCTTTACAAAAATTGAATTGTTTTGATGGTTAATTCTTTTTTAAATATATAATATTTATACGATAAATAAAATAAATAAACTTATATATCTTTTTCATCTTTGATAATGTTTGAACCATTGATCTAATCGGAGGTTAAGTATTCACAAACCACTAAGGCAAACGCCTTTGATTTTGATGGCCATGTTTGCCGCCTCTTGTTTTATAATAAATAAATTAAAAAAAAAGAATCTATATTTTCTGAAAATGGAACATAATATTGGAATATTCCAAGTTGATGGTGTAGAGTTGCTCATACCATCTTTCCTTTTTATCATGATTTTTTTATTTATTTAAATACTTTTTTTTTGGAAAAGGACGTATAATATATATATATATATATATATATATATATATATATATAAAATAGTGGTTATTTTTTGTTCATTTATGTCTATTTGTTTATGTTCAGTTATGTTTGTTTAACATTTTAATGAACAAATGCTTTTTTTAAAGAACAAATGACACGGAAAAATTTGTTTGTTAACGTTTGTTTATTTAACCATATTAACGAATGGACATAAACAAATTTCATTTAACATTTTATGTCTATTTGTTTATGTTCAGTTATGTTATGATTTATACTTACCGGATAAATTTCCTCATCGGATGAACATGAGAAGGGTCAAGAATCTTATCCGGTAAGAGCGATGAGAATGATGGAGAGTCTTACTCGGTAAGTGGGGATGACGACTCTTACCCAGGTAAGTGCTAGCTTACCCACTAAATTGTTGCATTCAATATGTTTTGATATACTAAAATCTTACACATCAAAATAAATCATAGTGTTGACTTCTATCGGTAAGCGCTTACCGGGTAAGCAATTGGGTAAACGACCCCTAAGTCTACCTCCACCTCTGTTGTCGTACCCACATAAAACGACAATTATCTCCTTTGTCCCCTCCCAACCTGCCATCTCGTTCATCTATCCTTGAACCCACCACCCTACCCCACCCCACCCTCCAAATAACCCCACCCCACCCCTACCCCTACCATGAAATCCATCTAGCACTCTCCGAGACTCCAATGATCTCTCCTGTAAAATAAAACCCACCCCTTCTGTCGTCCATGTAATTAAAACCCACCTCTTTCGAGGGACAGATCCTGCAATCTTTTGTTTTCGTACTTTGTTGTCCCACACTGTCTTGCAAAATGAAACCCATCCCTTCTCCCACTTTGTTCTCTATTTTCGTTTTTCATACAGATCTAAAGGAGATACAGAGAGAAGGGAGAAAAGTTGCAGGTGGGGGTGGTCTCGATGGCTAGACTGTGGGTATTAGGCGTTGATGGAAGAAGAGATTGAAGGTCGGAAAGGGGAGGTCGCAGGAGAAGGTGGGGGAGGGAAGAGGAGGTCGGCGGAATTTGACGTTCAAGTTACTCATCTGAAAACAATATTTGCTATAAAATAAACGCCGAGCAGATTACGTGTTTCATCCACGTGATAAGGTCTTTTTAACGATCCACGTCTCTTTTTGGAAATTTTAACGAAATGTGTCATTGTAATTGTGTTTTTACCGAGTTACACCCTTGTAATTGCGTATTTTTATAATGAATTACGTTCCTATGATTGTAGTTTTTTTTTAATTGAGTTTGGTCTCTAAATAAATCAATGAATCAGACCCCGTGATTGCATCAAGGACTCGGTTTATTGTAAAGATGTAATCACATGGATATAATCCGTTGAATTTTCAAAAAGAGAACAAGAACCGTGAAAAACGTATAACCAAAGGACGAAACATGTAATTTACTCATAAATTTATGATATTGATTTTGATTGATGTTTTATTAATTATATTATTGCCAACCACAATATTAGACATATAATATAGAAATAATTGAATTTCGGTGAGAATGGAAATTATGATGAAAAAATAAGAAAAATTTCACCATTGGATCAATTATAATTGCAGATAAGGGTGTGCAAAATCCGAATAGTCCGAAATCCGAACTGAAAATAAGGTGTTTATGCAAAACTCGAATACCCTGAAACCCGAAAATACGAAACCCAACTTTTAAGAGTATATTTGGGTTTCATCTTTGGCCATCCGACCCGTTCGAGAACCGGAAATATATATATATATATATATATATATATATATATATATATATATATATGGGTTGGGATCCAGTGAGAGGTGTAAGAAGGGATATGTATCCTTCTATGCACATTAGGATTAGATGCACCGAATCAATCTCCGCTTTAAGCGAGATTCATGAATGAGTTTGAGATTAAAGATGATCAAGGGTCCATATCTATTTTTACGCTTCTCACATTGACTCTCATTCTTACACGATCATTCGCCTATATTTTAAATATTATATAAATATATTTATTTATCTAATTATCTTTTGAAAATTCTAAATTCTAGTCGGTCGAAATGTTTTACAATTTCAAAACTTACTATTGATTTCTTTAATATCTCAATTGATTTAATTCATCATCAAAACCAATTGAATTTATATATACATTTTGCATTAAAATAATACCTGAAATCCGACCAACCCGAATCCGAAGCAACCGGATTCCGAAACTAAATATGGGTCTTGATTTCCATATCCAAAATCCGGTCGGGCTTTTGGTTTGCCCACCCCAACCCGCCCGATGCAAACCCTGAATTGCAGATCAACACTAATGCGTTGCACCGAGAAGCACCATATCAATTTCCGTGATAATGGATGGAGTGAGATTAAAAATGATCAATGATTCAGATTTATTTTTACGTTTATCATCTTAACTCCTATTTTCCGTGGTTCTTCGTGTGTGTGTGTGTGTGTAGAATAAATTACAAAAGGACGAAAATAGAAATATTCACGTAAACAAAATAAGGAAAAATGTAACGAATAGAAAGGCATACAGAAGAAAAGAAATAGAACCTTGTATTTCTTTTTAGGAAAAAGAAGAAATAAATTTTAATGGATGAAAAAAAAGAAATTAGGGAAAGATGAAAAAGTAGACCAAATGAACGGTGCTGATTAGAAAGGTATACAGAAGACTCGTGGTCATGCGTTACATCTAAGCAGAACCCAAAGGAGTCATGCTTATTAGAGGAGCACAAGTTCTTTGTATACACACTAAACCGTAGAAATACCCCTATTATAACAACTACTTACCTATCAATCTCACAATTTCTTTAATCCATTCACACACACACACACTCTCTCTCTCTCTCTCTCTCTCTCTCTCTCTATCTATAGAGAGAGACAATGGCAATTGTGCCTGGAAAGTGTTCGGAGGCGGTTGCTGGTGGCGGTGGAGGAGGAGGAGCTGGTGGTGCGACCTTTTCATCTACCATGAACAACGACGGAGGAATCACGGGAAAAGGTATCATGTTGTTTGGAGTTAGATTGATGGAAGGCGGTGGTGGAGGAGGAGGATCATCGTTCAGGAAGAGCGCTAGCATGAATAATTTAGCTCAGTTCGATGAACAACCTCAGGATTCTAACGTCGATGCCGTTGGATATGCCTCTGACGACGTCGTTCATCCCTCGGCTCGGAGTCGCGAGCGGAAGAGAGGTAGTTTTCCACCGATCCGTCTACTAGTTGATTTTTATTTATAAGATCATCTTCTTCTGTGATTTAGTTTTTGTGAAGTTATTGATTTCGATTGATTTTGAGTTGAATAGGAGTACCGTGGACGGAGGAGGAACACCGTCTGTTTTTGGTCGGGTTACAGAAGGTAGGGAAAGGAGATTGGAGAGGAATTTCAAGGAACTTCGTGAAAACACGAACGCCGACTCAGGTGGCTAGCCACGCTCAGAAGTACTTTCTCCGACGGACCAACCACAATAGGCGACGCCGGAGATCCAGCCTATTTGACATTACCACGGATACGGTACTGTTTAACATATTTTACTTGATTTATCTATTTGCTCATTTAAATTCAATTATTTTTCGCTCTTCATTTGCTTATGAAATTCTTTTTGGTACAACATTTTTCACACTAAAAAATAGCAACTTCTGTGTGACTCTGTCATTTAGCTGTATAATCTTAATTGAAATTTTAATTAAAGGTTGTTTTCAGTGTCAAGAACTTGAAATAACCAAACTATTTGGAGGTTGAAAATTTACTCCAACATTATATAAAGGGGAGGCTAATGGCATCTCTATCGATTACTAATGGCATCCATATTCCTATATAATCATTCTTTTTTTTTTCTTTTTTTTTTTTTTAATGTTTTTGTCCTTTTATTGTTTATTTCTTTTTTATA